ACACACACGCACACACGCACACACACACACACACACACACACACCCACACGCACACACGCACGCACACACACGCACACACACACACACACACACACACACACACACACACACACACACACACACATTTTATATAAAGAGGATCTATCATGGGGCTTCCACGTTTCGGACAAAAATTCACATGTTTTTCACAGGACAGTGACGATTTGTTTGGTTTATTTTGTTAGGTAGTGTTGGGTGGTTGGTTAGTTACGCTACTTAACACTATGTTTCGACGGCTTCCGCTGTGGAGCAGCCCCACATTCCCCCAATGCCATCAATCGACTTTCGCCATCTATCAGGCACTTGCCGAGGTGCCGCACACCCACAGTGCAGCTACAGTTGTGAGGGTGGGGCTGTGCGCCACGCACACACACATTTCCTATTGGTCCTTCATCCACAAGGCAACGCATTGAAATTTAGCACTGATATTTCCAAATCTGAACGATTCCGAGAGAACCGCAATGTTAGCCCAGTTTCCGCTCGGTTCTCTATCGTCGATGCCCAACCCTACTGGGTAATGTTTTAGTTCCTGTAAAAATTATGTCCATTCGCTTTAGTGTATTTTCTGCACTTTGCGAAGCATTCTGGGATTCGATCTTTCATATTATGATTTTACTTTCTCAAAGGTGACGGACAGCGGCCATCCTCCACTCTCCTCCATCTGCGTGGTCACCATCAACGTCACTGAGCAGAGCAAGTACCCACCCTCCGTGGTCCCCCTGGAGGTTTTCATCACCACAGCCGGCGGGTTTTATGCCAACCGCGTTATCGGTCGGCTCCATACCTCTGATCAAGACCCGCAAGATGTGTTGTCCTACGCGCTGGTCTCTGAGGACCCTACTGGGCACCACTTCTCCGTAGACCGGGCCAATGGTAAAATCTGGGTGGACAAAAATCTGGAAGAGGGCTCCTACGCACTCAACGTCAGCGTGACGGATGGCAGGTTCAGCGTCTGGACAGCGGTGAAGGTTCACGTATGGGCGGCCACACAGAGGGCGCTGGACTCCGGCTTGACCCTGCGACTGCATGGGATTTCCTCGGAGGAGTTTCTGGCCGATCACTGGCGAGGCCTCCAGCGCAGCCTGGCACAAGCTCTGACATTTCCCCGGCAAGAGCTGCACCTGGCCAGCCTCCAGATGCTACCCCACACCCCAATTCTGGAGATTCTGCTGATTTGGAGGCCTCAGAGTGGACTCATCCAGTCGCTAGCGACCAACAAACTAGCAGGTGATCCTCAGCAATTTGGTTTGAATCTCCTATATTAGTGTTTCTCCTGGGTTCCTTTTTCCGCAAGCCGTAACTTGGGGGTAAGTGGAATACAGTAAATACAGTCTTTTTTTGACGTCCCTGTTTGAATGCAGATAGCTTTTTCGCGTTCTTTTCTCATGTAAAGTTATCCACATAAGGCAAGACAAATAGGATTTGGCTCAGGTTGTCTCTTTCTGAGCCAGAATGAAACTGCTGACAGGGTTCCTACGCAAATATGGAAAAGTCAACCTCAAGTACTCTGAGAACAGAAATTTGCGGTTTTGAAACAATAAGTGTTCACTTACTTTATTTGGTGATTACAACACCTTTGATGACGAGGATGCTGCTGAGGAAATGAGGGGAAAATGGAGAGACAGAAGTGGCAAAACAAGTTAACTCCATAAAATTCAATAAGGATGAAATCAGTGTGACAGAAACAAAATAGACGATTAAAAGGCAGAGATACTTGCCGTCATCCAGTCAACATCAGACCGATATAGTTCAGTGTTGCCATTGAGCTTGCATTAACCATTACCTATCACTATACTAAAAAAACGGTGTGTCATAATAGAAACTGATCATACCTGTGGTTGTTATTTAACATTGTCAAACTAGGAAATCTATTTGCTGGATTACTGAGTAGCATTTAGTTATTATGCCATTGGAAAGGTGTCTTCATAGTCAAGCCATTGGGTGTTGCAAGCGGAAAAAAAAGTCTGATCGTAAAATATTCTGTTTTGACTACAAAACATATGGATTGGTAGTTTCATTATTTTTATTGGCAAGTGACCATGGCATAAGCAAGTTAATGACTTTCGGGGTGTACAGTTTTCAGGGATGGATTTCCCTAATAATTGTACACATCATCAGATATGAACCCTGATGTATAGGCGTCCATTGTTGTATAATCGCTGCTGTCACTCACAACGGGTACTCTAAATTCTCTGACGACTGGCTCATCGAAGAACCCGAATGATATACATTTACATATATGTCAAAAAAATGATTTGAAGTTGTATTGAGAAGGCCTGAAATTCAGGTGAGGACAATGTATGGAAGTGTAGGAACCCTGGGTTGCGTCATTATTATATTCTTTTTAAAGTAATGAGTGATTGGTTTGGAAAAGTTGTTAAAACTAGTGAGAAAAATCACTGAGAACTCCCGTTCTTTAATTCCATCATTTGGTTGCATGTAGGCATCTTGTCAGACATCGAGGACTCTCTGGGACTAGACGTTGTCCATTTGAGCTACAACGGCTGTCTGGGTGATGGATGTCCTCCCAGGCGATGCAGAAACACCATCCACTTGGCAGGAGACACCATGTACCACTTCAGCACCGCCAGACTGGCCTACATCACACCGCGGCACCGCTGGGAGAGCGTCTGTCCCTGTAACGGTATGTCCACCAGTCACAAGCCAAATTGGAAGGGAGTTGCAACATTTTCGGGGAGCTAGTGTTTTGGCGGTTTCAAGACAATAAATAACAAAAGCTCTGACTTGACTCTGATGCAACACCAAATTAACCCAACTTTAAATTGACCTTTTATCAGCCATCAGAATTTTTTAAAAGGCCAATGCCCATATGCTTCAAAATGCCAAATATCGACACAGATAACAGTGATCTCTATTCGTATTTTGAACATATTGCGACACAGATTTTCAACAGGAGACAGGTTTGGACTGCTGGCAGTCAGAACATTCAACATTACATAACAATAATAAAACAGAACACAACGTAACACATTGACAATAATAAGTAAGTAGTAACCACCATTTCTATGTACATCATGTTATTTGAAACGCTAATACACGAAAGCAGGGATGTCCCTGAAAAAGGGGCTTGTTGGAGGTGTGCCCCAGTGCCAGGTGTTTTGCTCTTGCTGCTCAGCTAGCAATGACATTTTCTACATTTGCCCAAACAGTTCTGCTCGGTAGACAAGTTTGTGTTGCATCAATTTTCTGCTTCCGGCATTGATTAGATGTTCCTCACTAAACTATGAGAGGGAAAAAACAGAACCTCAGGATGCACTTCATTATGTTTTGCTCCAAAATCAGTTGACGCCCTAACATTTATTAGGCGCCTGACGACCAGAAAAGCCTCTTCCTCCTACGAAATGTGTCAAATCCAAAGATTGCACCGGTGATGGGGGAGTTGATGTGTGTGGGCATTCCTGCCAGGATTAACAGCATTGCGGCCGGAATAAATATCAGCTGCAAGCTCCTCAGAATGAAACGTCGTTCCCCGCTTGTTTTGGAACCTTGTGTTATTTTGACTCAAAAGACTGAGCAGAGCTGATAAGACAATCAGGTCACAGCCAGTCTTCTTTTCAACAGCCATGAGAAGCTATTACCTTCTTTCATTCCGTCCCCTTGAGTACAATTCTTTCAAGAGTCTTTAATATTTAATTTGACATTCACAGCCCATGTTACACATGACGCTGTGATTTCTCCGGACAGCCTTTGTTGCTGTTTCTGAAACTCCTCAGATAATCAGTCAATGTAAACCAAAGGCAAATGCATTCAAACTATGACCAAATTATTGGAGTCCAATTACTTAGTGAGCGAGTCAGTCAGTGAGTGAGCTTTGTCCATTAAACATCTCATTAGTTTTGTTTTAATCCGCTCGAACCCGCTACCTTTTGATGCTGTTTTACATTCTCATCAGTTGAGAAAGCAGACCTGATCAATATGAACCATCACAAACGCAAACCGATTTCCCTCCACTTAATGCTCATATTCAGGATGTCCATTAACGTGTGCGCTGGAGTGACTAATTCAGTCGCTCGTTTCTCCTTAGTGATGTTGACGTTCTGACTGGGAGCCGGCAGCATTTTTGTCCTTCGGCTTTTGGAGCGTTCAAAAAGAGATCAAAGGTGCTTTCTGAGTGTTTTTGAGGTCCTCCTTGCCGTTGCGGTGTCTGACAGACACCAGATCAGAATTGACCCTTTGCTTCACGAGCCGTTTCATCTGCACACGCCGCCGCCAACTTCAATGCCTGCAGGACCCACGGCACGCACAATGATGCACTTTTAAAGTGATGTTGACATCTGGTGAAGGTGGACATTTTGGAGCAGTTTCATGTCAGCCATTCAACAAACCCTGACCGTGGAATGAAACCCAAATTCGAAGGCCTAACCTTGGCTTTCAAACCTCATTTGAAAGCCTTACATGTGGCTTGAACTTCTACATTGAAACCCTAATTTCAAACCCTAAATGTCATTTGAAAACCTAATCTGAAACCCGAACACAAATTTGAACTCCTATCCGCTGTCTTGAGACCCTACTTTGAATCTATAATTTCAAACCCTAACTTGAAACCCTATCACTGGCTTGAGACTTGAAAACCTACATTAATCAATAACACTGGCTTGAAAACTTCCCTTAAGACCAACCCTGAGTGTGAAACCCTAACAATGTCTTGAAATCATCATTTCAAGGCCGAACCTTTGTTCTGAATCCTAATCTGAAACCTTAATCCTGCTCTGATATCTGTCTTTGAAACCCTAACCCTGACTTCAAACCCTTATTTCAAACCCCACACCTTATTTGAAACTCTAATTTCCAACCCTAACCCTTTTGAAGAAGTGAAACTTTAACCCCATGGCTTAAAGCCATACCCAAATTGGAACCCTGCTTTGAAACCCTTACACTGGCTTCCTACCCCAATTTGCCCTAACTCAGGCTTGAAACCACAATTTCATGACCTAACCCATATTTGAAGACCTAAATTGCAGCCTTAACCCAAACGTAAACCTTACCCATGGCCTGAAATCCTACTTTGAAACTGTAAACCTTGCTTGAAAACCTGAACCCAAACCCTCATTTGAAGCCCAATGTCGAAACATTAACTCACACCTCAAACCTATGTTTTAAACCCTTCTTTGCGACACTTTGAAAGTCAAGCCCTGACTTGTAACCCTAATTTAAAACTCTCACCCTTGTTTGAAACCCTAAATTCAAACCTCAACCCCTCTTTGAAAACTGATTTGAAACTCAATTTAAAATCCTAATCTTGATTTCAAACACTCACTCATACCTTGTCAACAAGGTTGTTCTATGTTCTATTGACGGAAACCTCTTTGGAAACCATTTGATATCAAGCATCTTGTCTTCATGTGTTTCTGTCTCAGAATCGGCGCTGAGGTTCAGCGACGAGGCCTACCTCAAGTATGTCCACGGCATGGACGAGGACCAGCAGGATTTCACCGTCGCCCTGAGCTTTCGGACCTTCCAGCAAGACGGTCTCCTCATGTTGGCCAATGGCACCGACTGGGGGAGCTTGCAGGTAATCCAAGGCTTTAGGCCTCCACCAAGAAGATTACGTCAATCATGAGTAGACCCACAACAAATTCTCAAAAAGCCGTGCCTGGAAAGGTACCGGGTGATTTTGGCTTGAAGCAGCCATTATAGCTTCAAAATGAATTCTGCCTCATTTCTGTCATGAGTAGACCCACAGAAAAGTCATCGGAGACTCAATTTGCGTGGTTGTAACCCCCAGGGATTTCATTTAAAATTTAGCCGCGGAAGCCTGTTTCACTTTCGCATCATAAAATTGGGTAGACATGTTTATCAGAGTAGATCCACAGAAAAAGTCTCAAGAAGCCATGCCTGAAAAAACACTGAAATTCTGCATATTCTTTTTGAATCTGCCCTTTTAAGGTTATTTTTACATTTTTTCAGTGGTCCTTCAAAAACAAGCATGCCGTTAAAGTTTGATGTCTTCATTTTCGTTTAAGTTGTATTTACTTTCATCTTGGTGATTTAAGGACGTGACAGAATACGACTTCACTTTTTGTCAGTGTGCCTCAATGACCCTCGCTTGCCTGCCACGTGACAGAGTTCCCTATAGAAGGTATCTTGAGACTTGTGAAGGCAATCTAATGGGAAAAAGTCTTCCAAAAAGAAAAAAAAAATGATGCCTCAATAGAATATGCTCCCGAGCTCAGCACAACAATGCGTGAGCATGGAACGGTTTGTATTGTACGCAGTGGTCATGAATAATTCTCTGAGCAGATGAAGTGCTGCGTGATGCCGGCCCTCGTGGGGACTCATGGCACGCTGGCGGAATGTTCAATCACCTTGATTCTTGGAAAAAAAAAATCAAAAGGACACCTCATCCAGTGCCCATTGAGCCGCAATCCTGTCTGTTGGAAACACGTTAAGAAGGATTCATAGGGAGTGGGATGAACTTCAGAGAGAATTTGTAAAGAGATGGTCATCTGTGGACTTTGACTTCTGATTTTTTTTATGGGGGGGGCGTATTTTGAACGGTTATGATATAAAAACAACAGACTCAAGTTCATACCTAAAAAAAAAAAAAAAAAAAAAAAAAAAAAAAAAACTGAACATGGATGCACTTCCAGGACCTGACAAAGAGTACTCTACAACCCCGTTCACACTGCCCGTCAAGATGTTCCTTTTACTGTCACTGTGTGGCATCTTTGAACATTTCAGAAAGGGCACAAAAAACATGCACAGGTGCATTTTTCATCCAGTTGCTCAGGATAGAATATGGTTGGATGAATGGAGGTTGCACCGAAAATAACGCAAATAGATACATTTGTGAATAGTCGAGTGCAAATAAGTGGGGGATTACGATATCACTGCCTCTGATACTCCCTCGAGTGACAAAGACATCAAATTCGCTGGTTGATGTGAACGTCCTCCATGCCTTATTGAACCCTTTTGCAAAAAACTGTGACAAAAAGGGAGCAGCGTGGAATGAGGGATGAATTTGTGTGCAGAAATCTACCTCTGTTTGGGAGAAAGAAGGGCCAAGCCTCCCCCTAAAATTTCTTAAAATTACCTTGATATAATCAATAGTTTAACTGTAAATATACCACAAACTATGACCCAAACACTTGGGTATTATTTCATATTACATTTTACACAATCCTTACAGATAAAAGACTTACAAATTATTTTGATTTGGAAAAATGCAACCCAAGTGCACATCTACATGCAGGGAAGAAGGCTGAACTTAGCTCTTCCCCAACATGCAGAGCTTGCCTCAGCAGAGAACTATCACTTCAACGCACTTTCTTGACACTTGCATATTTAGCCTGGGCTTCGGCGGCATCCTGCAAATAGCTAGCAATAGGTCTCATAGGAAAAAAAAATAATCCTGGGCTTTGTGTGAAAGGCAACATCAGCACAGGGCGTGAACTTTAATACCTAACACTTTTTAATCCGCTTTGGTTTTGTGACAGCAATACATGCGTGCAGGGATGTCGCGTTTATGTGAGTCTTCTCAATCATATCAGAGCTTATGATTGGCTCGGGGGGAGGAGAAATTGGTTTATGATGTTTGTTTTACACGCGTGCTGGGCCCCATATGCAAGGATGCACTTCTTAAAATTGTTGTATAATATTTCATTTCATATCATTTTGTGGAGCCCCAAATTACAGCTACAGTTTCAGCAGCATGAAAATGACTGATCTAATTGTGACGCCTTGGACTACAAGTCCCTTGGCTGATGAGTTTTTTTAAAGATATGCACCATTAAGATGGTTTGCCAACCACCACTGAACCCCAAAATATTTGCAACACTTGTGTAGTTTGCTCACATTTTCTGGAGTTGCAGGTTATATGGCATGCAAATGCCATTACTGTGTGTTTTGATACACTATAAATACTGTTGGGTGCAATTTTTCAGATGACAAAATAAACGTTGGTGTTTTGGGGCGGGTAGTGGAATGGATTAATTGAATTTATATATATTATTTGAAGTAGGAGTCATAAACGAACGATAAACGAAAAGGCACAGACGAAGAAACAAGTGTGATAAATCCATTTCATTTACATCCACGCAATGAGTGGCCATTGTTTTTTACATTTCGGACCCACGTGGGAGCGTCAGTTCGTACAAGTGAAGGTCTTCCAGTGGTGTGAATGGGAACTTTGCGCTGCCAGTTAATGTGGGCGTTGTCAAGATGACTGCTATGCATGCCAATGAGCTGTGTGTGTACTAAAAACACACGAGAGTTACACAACACTCCCCCCACAGGAAGGTCCCTCGGCGCAGTGGAGCTCGGGGTCGTTGATTTATGAAGTTGCAAAGCCATGGAGCTTTTTCGGTCCCTCCGGAGCTCAGGTGGGCTTGTTGCCGCACTGCGCCTCGACTGGTGCTGATGCTGTAAGTCCTCCGAGTGAGGCGTCTTGAAATATCCGTCAGTGGAGATGACACCCAGTGATGTAAAAAAGATTACAAGGCCACCTCTTGTTCTGCCGCGAGCATTTGTTTCATGTCTTTGCCACAATAAGGACTCCGCCGTACCCGCAAACATGAAGTCCCACCGTGCTCATGGCGCGAACTGGCTTCCAACCACCTCCCCATGTGCTCTCAAAATTAAAGACAATTTTGTCTGCAACAAACCTAATGACAATAAAGACAATCCACAGAGGTTGTAAGACACATTTTCTGTCAGCTTAAAAAAAATGTCCAGACATTTTTCTCAACATCACTGATGCAATGATGCTAGTGTCTTTTCTTTTATGTGGCAAAGAGAATCTAGTTTGCAACCAAACAAGTGCACCTTCTTAATGCATATCAAAGAACATTTAGTTTTTTAGAAATATCAGAGACAATTTAGGCTTCAATAACTTCATTTACATTTTCTGTAAACATTAAAAGTTTGTCATCACAGATGCAACAACCTTTGTCTAACTTTTGGAAACATTAAAGACCATTCCTTATGTATTTTTTTTAACAACAATTACAATTCAGAGTAGGAATGAACCTTACATAAATTTTCTGTAAATATAAAATAAACTTTAGTCTAATGCAGTCGTTTTTAAGACCATTAAGTCTGCCTCATCACACAGTGAGCGATTTGATCTATGGACACCTTGCGACGTTAAAATGCCAAACTTGTATAAGCGTTTAAGACTGCACATACAGTATATTGTACCTTATCATTTTTATTAAACCATTAAAATGATGAAAGTTACAGTCAAGAAATCAGTGGGTTGTTCCAGAGAGATGACTTGGATATTTTGAGAGGCTCGTCTTGCTTCCTTTCCCTTGGATTTACCAGGCGTGATACGTTCATCGCTCGCATGCAGTTTTTGACGACTTGACTACAAGCTTTGTTATTTCATACACAGGTACATATGCGATTTTAAATATACAATATAATACAATCCATAGTAAGTATTGTTGAAGTCAGATGATATTAATATAGCTGTATTGTATCTTATACATTAAAAAAAAAAAAAAAGCAAATGAGAGGTCACATCTTTACAGTGGCCTAGTTTAAGCCACCAATCAAATGATCTGTGCCAAAGAAGGCAAATATAACAGCAAGTGTTCTAAACACTATGTCAATAGAGCTTCAACAAGCGCACTGGCCGTGCACGTGGCACTGGGCTGCAGTATACACACCGTTGGCCAAGTGATTCTCTTTTACAGTATATCACATAAATGATCAAGGCTAAAGTCACTGTCACTGCGTATTGGTTAATATTTGGGCCCACGCGTATGGGGGCCTCTTGATCTTCAATTTACAGGCTGAATTTGGGCCTCAGTATGTCCCTGTGAACCCAAGCGACACATCGAAGGTGGAGAAAATGTGTCTGTCAAAATTACGGGAGCAATCAAGCAGCAGTAAAACATCACAGGGGGTGCACTTGTACTATTTCCTCTCTCTTTTCTGTCTCCCTTTATCTCATTGTTTTCGCGATAAAAAGCGCTGAGTGTGCATGAATCTGAATTTCTGAATCTGTATCTGAATCTGAATCTGAATGCAAAGAGGCTCGCTGATGCTGAGCAAAAAGCTCAATGTGGGCTCCCGGGCAACGCAAACCCCCGTCTTGTCATTGTTTGTCCCCCCCCGTCAACGCTAATGTATGAAGCTCGACGTGATTCCGCTCTGACTTGATGCTGCAGACGATGATGATGATGATGCGTTGGCGTCATTTGAGTTCGTGGTGAGAGGAAGCTGACGGATTAGTCACGATAAGCCAGTTACTGCGTTTATGAGGCACTGAGATTGTGCGTCGCCAGGCTAAATTGCAAAGAACCATCATGAAATTATGAAAATTGTGACTTATGTTTATTAAAGACTTAAATTCAAGTTGCTCAACTCAACTTTTATTATAATCGTAAAGACGCTCAAAATGAAATTGAAACACTTATTCTGAACCGTATTGAAGACAGCTGAGATAGGTTTCAGCATGCCCGTGAACCTTGTGAGGATCAGAAAATGGATGGATGGATTTTGAATCCAACTACTTATGATGAAAAACCTTTCAGATTACTAAAATGGGCAGCACAGACATTCTTATGAAATCACAACCGATCACCAATTTTCAGGTTTTCAGAATTCAACACTTGTTATTGAACCTGAGAGGATAAAACAAATCCACTCACAAAGCCACCGTGATTCTGAGTGAGAACCGAAAATTAGGTTGTTATCTGTCAATTTGTAACATTAGATATTACATTTCATATTGGATTGAAAGTACCTGAAGACCATTTTCACAACCGGCCGGTGTACATCTATACAATGTGACGAAATTGTTCATTTCCCTTGTACTCATGAATATGCCACCTGAATTTTGAAAGAAATCTTGAGAGAAAACATGCAGCTTCTGAGTTGGAATGAGGAACTGACTCCCGCCACCGTGGTATGAAGGGCTTTTACTTCAAAGGCATGTGCAGAAGTTACAAAGTATCCGGCATCGGGGCCGGCTTGTTTTATTGATAAAATGGAACCATTGAATTTGTGCGTATGAGTGAAGAGTGGCCCAATTACACAGGGAGTAGCCAAGCAAATCCCATACTCCTAAACTTGGCCACTTAAATATGACTTGAGACAATTCATGTGACTCGACTCCCCATGTGTGGTGTTTGCCAAGCCTCGGGTATTTTTTGGAAACATCAGACTCAAACACTGACTGACCATGCTCTTCTCTCGTCAGGTGAGTGGCGGCCATCTTCACTTCTCCTTCAGCTGTGGCATCCTGCCTCCTTCTGGCCTGGCTCTGACCTCGCCTGCGGTGTCCGACGGCCGCTGGCACCGCGTCCTCCTGGAGGTGAGAGCCACGTCTTTGAGGCTTACCTTGGACCGCCAGTCACACACCGTGGCCAACCTGGGATCGCCGTGCCGCCTGATGCGCTCGAGCGGATTCCTGCTCTTCGGCAATCGCCGATTCCGCGGTTGTCTGGAGCACCTGGAGCTCAACGGGGAGCCAATCGCAGTGGGTGATGCGACGGAGTGGAGGGGTCCGGGCAGGAGGCGAGTGTTTGGAGTCTACGAGTGCTGCAGTCGGGCGGGACCCTGCGACCACAACCCATGCCAGAATGGAGGGGTCTGCCACGAGGACACCAGTGGAGGTGAGCGTGTGCTCTTTCATGCAGAGAGCCCTGATATAAGCTCCTATTCTGCCCGTGACCTCGCCCAAATGTCACATGCTTCCGTCCAATGGCGCAGGTCTGTCGGGGAGGTGGGACAAGCAACTGTGGTCATGTCGATAGAAGCATTATGTTCATGTGTGCTGTTTCTATGTTAAGAAAAGGCAAAATAACTCGAAAAAAAAGAGGATATGGACTCATTCCTGAATAGTAAGGAGAGGGCGGTATGGACTGTCTCCAAAATGAACTTGAAATAACAAATTTGTTTAATGACACCACTTTGCTAATCACCACCTTGCAAATTAACAAATATAGCAGGAGTTGAAATGGTATGAATTCCCCTTTTGGTTACTTGCAAGTGTTGCAAGTTGCCCTGGCATCAACTTTTCGCATGAAACATAGCTGAACGTTAGAGTGCTTCTGTTGCCATGTTGGAAAAGGTCAAATAACCAAAATACACTTCTTGTGTGCGATGTCATCGCTCATTTACGACAAAGAGGAATCGATGGACGCCTATTTTTCATGTAGTTTCTTCTCATCATTTGTGGTGTTCACCTACAGGAGGGGTGTCAAACTCATTTTTCTTGCGGACCACATTTTTGATTCGGTTTCCCATGGAGGGCCGTTATGAATTTGGGGAAACCATATAAATGTTTAATCCCCTCCACATAGTACATACAGCTCGCACAACAAATTGATGAATGACTAGTTTTAAAATCAGAAGTCAAGAATAATGACTGTTATTGTGGATTACATATGACAATTTTAAATTTTGATTCAAACTTTAGCAAGCATCATGGAACTTGACATGCTTGATTTGCTTTCGCGGGCCACATAAAATGATGTGGCGGGCCAGATCTGGCCCCCGGGCCTTGACTTTGACATCAGTGACCTACAGAATGGCTTGTAACCCATATTCTTCTATTCTATTCTTTTCTTCTATATTTCATGCTGAGCAATTGTCGGCCATTCAACAATGTGTCCACCTCATTACACAAAAAGAACAGCAAACTGCCAAAGAAATGGACTGCAGGCTGGAGTCCTATGCTGGCCCTCATTAGCATTTTGGCTTATCGCTAATTGGCCAGCGAGTGGTTTCTCCTTAGCAAAGATAGCCGTTCAGCTCACTTCAGAATTCAGAACAGAGCCGATAAAGATCACACCTGAAATGCTTCACTTGGACACTGACGGGCTGTGTGCGTGCATGCGTGCGCGGGGTTGGGAGGGTTGCTTTAAAAATGTATACAGTTACTAGTTACCTGTTAAAAAATGTAGTTAGTAGCATAATCAGAGTACCATAATATTACAATTATTCTCGGCTGGTTTAATTCATTTCTTGACACAGACGTGACATTCTCAAAAACAAATCCCCAAACCACCTTGCAATCGTTCACAAGAGGATGTAATTTCTCATTGATTTCATCATATTACAAATGCCTTCGTGTATGTCTGAAGTCACAGTGCATTTATGTCAATTTATATGTACAAGTAGCCTACAGTTAGCATAATGTGGCAACATTTAGCGCATTTTCCAAATACCGTATTTTCCGCACTATAAGGCGCACCTAAAAGCATTAAATTTTTTCAAACGCCGACAGTGCAGCCTCAACAAAAACATAACAGCACCTTTCGTTGCACCTAATATAAATAGACTGTAACTCTCTTTCTAATCCCCATTGAGTTGTTTCCCTGTTCGTGTTCCTATGCCATCTCATGGTGATTATTGGCAGGAACCAATTGGAACCTTAAATGGGTCTGCCCAACACAAATTGACATGTGCATTAGCCAACATACACTCAAACAGACAATTACTTTGTGAGACCTGCGCAGCTATTATAAAACGAAGATAACACCAAGAGCATCGTTAACTACTGACTAAATGAAGGAAGGAGAAAAGCAAGACTTCCAAGGATATTTAACCCTTTGTGGATGTGAGCCCATGAGGTTTATGTGCCTTTTTTTTTTTTTATCAATTGTCTTCATAACTTTTGTCTTTCATTTATTGTCTTGTAATGCCATTTGTATTTATGTTTCATGTCGGTGTGTAACCAGTTCTCATTGTTACAGCTACAGCGGTTTTGAAGGCTCTAGAAGCTCTGTTGTATTGTATTGTATTCCCTTTAGGTAGCACCATCTCGTGGATAGTGCATAGCGCAACTGCAGCCACTATTGTAATAATAATAATAAAAATAATACATTACATTTATAAGCGCCTTTCAAAACACTCAAGGACACTTTACAATCAAAACAAGAACAATAAAACCACAGATAAAATTATAAATAATAAAAGGAGAGATTAATTTAAACTGAATTTAGTAGCTCCTATTCTATGCGCCTTATAATGCAGTGTATATGAAAACAGTTTTAAAATAGGCCATTCATTGAAGGTGCGCCCTATAATCCGAAGCGCCTTATAGCTCAGAAAATACGATAGATAGATCTTGCTGATCTAAACTTCTTGATTGATTCTCAGTCTTATGGTTGTTTTCAACAAAACATGTCCGCATGTTACATATCCACATCGTCTGTTCAATAGTCAAGAAAATAATACCATGAACACCACGTATGAATTCCTTGGAACATTTGATAAATATTTATGAAATGGAGCTACTACCCTGTACTCTGCTACCCTAAGTTTTATTCATCATTTTATTCTGTTAGCTCGACCAGTGATTCTCAACCACTGTGCCGAGATACATTAGTGCGCCTTGCGAAATGATCAGGTGTGCCGCGAAAAATTATCCGGTGTCATTTATTTAGACAAAAACACGCATTATTATAATAACTGTTTTTTGTTCATTTATGTATGCCAACCACGCATTGAAACAGGCAAAACAATGACATGTTCTTTGACTCAATGACTGAAGGTACATAATTTACCTGTGTCTATACTTTTTGGGAATGGTTTTACTTAGTGGTGTGCCGTGAAATTTTTTGGGGGATGCGAACCATATGTCTTAGCCCAATAATGGTTGGGAAACAATGAGCAAGACCTCATAGTGTCAAAACACTGATGCATTTTGACTTGCAGACTCACAATGCCCAAGAGACAATGGATTTTGGGGGCACTATTTATATGAAAAAGGAAATTAGTTTTGACACGCAGGTAAACTATTTTGGTTGGTTCCTGTAGCATGGCAGAATGGCAAAATTTCAGAATGTTTTTGTTTTTGTTTCGTGTCTGTTTCCCGCATTGACATTCATGCTGGTAAAGGTTGTCAAATTCTGATTATCCCCCCATTTTTTTGTTTGTGGTTGTTTTCTTTTTCACCGTACAGAGCAGCACTGTAGGTGCACAGGCATGTTCTATGGCGCACGCTGCGAGCAGAAGAACAACCCATGCGTCTCCGAGCCATGCACCCACGGTCGGGTGTGCGTGCCCAAGGAGCAAGGATACATTTGCAACTGCTCAATGGCACATGTCAACGCACAGTAAGCTTTTTCTCCTTCTTCCGAACCCAAAAACCAGCTGCTATTCTTCACAGTTTTGTGCCCAATGAACACTGAAGCGAAGTAAATATGCCACGTAGCAAGGCCAAATCATCTTAAATCTGACACGCCATGTGGTTGGGCTCGACTCCAGTCCTCCAGGTGATAAGCAGGAATAAATGAAGCATGACTGAATTACTACCATCACCACAAATGTCCACTTTTGCTTTGTGGGGTTAAAGTAAAATGTAAAGTCAATACTGTCATCCCGGAGATAAAGGGGTGGGGCTTGATGGATACATGGGGCAGGGGGGAGACTTCCCCTGGGCTACACAGATTTCTGATGGAGCTAAAGGCCCCGTCAGCTCTGGTGTAGAGCCATCTCTGCGCTGGGTGCGTTTTGACAACATATAGGGCGAATATGTGCGACCATTGACTGACATTGACGAAATAACTGACTGGCTTACAAAGAAGCTGTCAATTCCAAAGAGCAGACATACTGTATACTGTCAGAGGCTGCTCCTTATTTATGATCTATATGTTTACTAAAAACAATGTGCTCAATATGGCCGTGTGAATTGCAGGCATGTGTAGTTATGATTCATTCATGAATACAACAAGGCATCCCATTTGTCTGTGTGTGGAAATGCATTGTGTAGGTGTGTGAAATGAACCTGGCGACTTCTCTGTAGCGACGTGACCGGAATGGAGGCCGTTGGCTTTTCCCCTCGGTAACCTCCCTGAAAGCCAATGTTCCGCTCCTGCCTCATAATCACTTTTTCGAGACTCGCTTACTTGTCCCACTGAATTGCTGAGTGACCTCCTCTGACGCTTGAAGTCAAAGTGGAAAAGAAGACGAAGTTCAACATGAACCTGTTGTCTGTCAGAAAATTTCATTGCGGCAGTTTGCAGCTGCATATTGCATAATCTTAACTAAGATACACCCACAAAACACTGACTGGCCAGCCACATTTTATTCCATAAAATGAAATCAAAGGATTAAAATGATTGATTCAATTTAATTCAATTCACATTTATTTTATTGTATTTTATTTGATTGATATTTTAAATCATTATATTTTTCTGGAAATTTCCTAAATCAGCTTGCACATCCCTTGCTAGCAGGGTTCCCACGGGTCCTTAAAGTTCATAAAAAATCCATAAAAAAAGAAGTTGTAAAATTATGTTCTTAATTGTCCTTAATTTTCAGGGAAAGCTTCTAAAATCAAAAAAAATCCTTAAAAATTAACTTGTGGTGTTCATTTCATTTGTGTATGTCATTTTGCCCACCCTTCCAATCAATAGTTTTGTCGGAAAATGCGCCGGGCGCCCTTCCCCTCAAATCCCGCTGTCGGGCTACATGCTTCCTGGTTCCTGCTCTAATTTTCCCTCTGATGGATTAAAAAATCCGTGAAACAGCAAAGCCATGAAAGATGAACTTTGTTATAGCGAGCAATTACTGTACTCCAACGTAAGTATGCTTGACATATTTTTGCGGGTTTAGAATGATACACTGGACAAACAGTCCCACAATAATATAAACATTGAATTCAGTGAGTTGATTTTTGTGATTTTTGTTTGGCTGGTTAGTTAATTGACCTGTTGGTTAAACAGCCAGATCAACGAAACGTGGAGCTGTCTCATGATGACAAACACGCTGAAGCGATGTGCACACATGTAGCGAGCGGGAGGCTCAATTACATATCCCATCTTTTATTCAGTGTAATAACACATCAGCGGCAGGGAAGCTGCAGTAGGGTGTGTGTCATGGAGAAAACAAAAACACACGTTGGACTTATCACTGTTGTCATTTTTATTATTATCAGTGTTTTCCATTTTGTTTAGTTTAAGAATAGGCAGATTGCTGAGTTTCTCACAGCATTCCATAGATTTTTACCAAACAAGACTTCATAGGCTGGTTCAAATCACACAGAGAATTTTACTTATTGAACTGTTGTTCCTCACAGAGGGCAAAATATCCGTCTCTGATTTCATCAGTGGCGACTGATTATCGTGTTGACTTCTAAAAACAATTGCAACAAGGACTGACTTATGAAGGCTCGACTGCTCTTTTCTCTGCTTTGTTGTTTGCTTGATGCTTTGTTTTATCTGATCTTAATTGTACTTTGAATTTTTATTGAACAAATTCTTCGATAATTGTATTTGATCTATTTTTTTGTCCATTCAACCATTTTCTGTGCCGCTTGTCCTCACAAGGGTTGCAGGTGTGCTGGAGTTCAGTTGATTGGGTGAGAGGCAGGGTGTACCTGGACTAGTCACCGTCATCTGCAGGGCACATGTAGACAAACAATTAACCAAACTTTTTTTTGGTTGTTTTGCAGGTGTATTTATTGATTTATTTTTACATAGGTTTTTTTTCTTTTTTGGGGGGGTGGGGGGGGGGCATTTAAAAAAAAAAGATTTGTTCCAACCCTTCTTTGAAACCTTAACCCGAGCTTAAAAAGCTTACCTTCACACCTTTTCTGTACTCTCCATCTTGGTGGCACAGGTGTCACAACGGCGTAGACATGTGCTCTCCCAATCCATGTCCCAGCGGTTTCCTGTGCCAAGTTTCCCCCGGCTCCTTCCATTGCGACCCTCTACCACAGGTCAGTCCTCAACCGGGTCCTCTTGTAGATGAGCAGACTTGACCGTGGTGGGTGGTCCTTCCCAGGTGTCTCCGGTGGTGGGCTACGTGGAGTTGATGGAGATTGGCGCCAGTGTGCTAGGCCTCTTGCTGCTGGTGGCCATCTTTGTTTGTGGACGCAAGCGCTACATCCAACAGAGGAAGAACAAGAAGACGAAGAACAACTCCAACGGGTGACGCAACTATTCTTTACGTCATTTATGTCACACAATTGTTTAAATGTCAATATTCAATTTGGTCTTCTCATTTGATTTTAAGACAAAAGACAAGATTTTAAGGGGGAAAAATGATGGACACACTTTTAGCTAGCATAGTTAGTTAGTCAACCAAGTGGTTGTTATTTGGCTATTCAGTCAGTAAACCTCTTGGTTGATTATGAGTCGTTTGTTGGAAATTTACTTCCTTGGGTAGGTAATCAAATTGGTTGGTCAATTGGCTAGCCTTTCGGACTTAAAACTTGGTTTTGTTTGTTTGTTTGTTTGTTTGTTCGTTAGATTTAATCAGTCAGGTGTATGCTTAGTTAGTGATCTCATTACAGAGTTGGTTGGTTACTCAACTGATTAGTTGGTGTGTGTGAAAAGTTAAGTTGTCTGTTGGGGTAGTTAGTGGTTGGTTCATCAGTAAATTAACTAGTTAGCAGTCGGTTGGTTGGTTGGTGGGTTACTACTCAGTCAAGTGTTTGGCTGGTTGTTCAGTTAGCCTGGGGGTCGAAAACCCGTGGCTCCAGAACCGCATTTGGCTCTTTAGCACCGCCCTAGCGGCTCCCTGGAGCTTTTCCAAAAATGTTTGAAAATGGAAAAAGGTGGTGGAGGGAAATATATTTTTTGTTTTAATATGGTTTCTGTAGGAGGACAAACATTCTTAACGTTTTCCGATGCTTTAAAAATGTGTAGAATAAATATTAAATGTCAACATTTCTGTCAACGAGGATTTGTGTCATAGCCAGCGACACATGCTTCTATTAGCAGGACGGGATGCCATGCAAGTGGCTGTCATGAAAAAAAAAAAATAGCATTTCATGTACAATTCACCTAGGGTACTGGCAAAGAATGGGAATGTGGATGGCTGAGAGAAGCATTTTAAGCGCGACACATGAGCTACGATTGTTAACACGCTGCAAAAGTGCGTCCCATGCCTCCATCATCTTAGGGGCCGTTATGGCTGTTGCTCATTATGGCATGCGTGTGTAAATGCGTGTGTATGTGCGCGTGCGGTAACGGGTCGATCGCAGGAGTTTGGTTGATCGAAAAGTAGATCTTCCGTCAAAAAAGTTTGGGCACCCCTTCTCTACAAGATGCATTGCAGGAAAAAAAAACCTTTAATCGTGAAGGCTCATTGTGTATTTCTAGCCAACTTAGTCATTTTGATAGTAGGCAAATATAGCTAATATAGATTCATACAGCATGTGTTGCCTTCAATGTAAGGCTTTTCATTTTTTGCGGCTCCGGACATATTTGTTTTTTGGGGGTTTTTTTTGGTCCAATATGGCTTTTTTCAACATTTTGGGTTAGCCCATTGTAGTTGCTTGGTTGATTAGTCACTCAGTTACATAGTTGGTCACTTAATTGGTCAGCTGGTAGGGTAGTCAGAAGGTCATTTATTTTGTTGTGGAGGATAAATACTTTTCTGTCCATTCCTACGTTTTTATCCTTTCCACATGATGCGTCCCACATACCTAACTGATGCCGAGTGCTGGTAGTGGTGGTCTACCAGCATGTGTTCCAAGTGTTGGCTTTTCAAAAATATTGAGATATCGTAACATATAAATACGTCCTGACCAACATGATAATTTTCTGAATGACACACAAACGTGTTTTTCAGTTACGCTCCGTCCATCTTGTCCAAGAGTCCAAAAGCCTGTGATCAGGACGGCGGCCATATGGAGCTCAGCTGCATGACGTCGTCCACCAACGACCTTGACCACTCGCCCTTCCGCTCTCTGCGTCCCCGCAGCTTGGCACCCAATGATAAGTCGCACGGACCGGTGGTCTGCAGCGTGGCCCCCAACCTGCCTGTCAGGCCCCCATCTAGTTCTGACAACGACTCAGTCAAGAAGACCCACTGGGACCTTGACTATGAAGGTGTGTGTGTGTGTGTGTGTGTGTGTGTGTGTGTGTGTGTGTGTGTGTGTGTGTGTGCGTGTGTGTGTGTGAGTGTGTGTGTGCGCGTGCGCGCTACACCTCCACCTTGGCATGAAAAATGACATTCATATATGATACGATGGCAAACATATCGAGACACATTGCAACTACACACCAGCAAAAAAACAGGCTGCCTTTGAAGAAACAAAGACCGAAAAGTGAACTCATAAAAATGGGCCAGGGGTAACCATAGCCATAACTAACAGGAAGTTTGAGGCTCAAGGCCTTGAAAGCACTGACAGCCAAGCGTGATGATGTCGTCCATTATCAAACCCAAGGTAACTGCACCGCGCTAGGACACTAATTAGGATTTATGCTCTGCTACTACTACACACAATTTGAAATCTGAATTTCAGGCCAGGTCAGCAGCTGCCACCATGCATTCTTTTAAGCCCGAGAAATGCAAATGCCAATGCTTTATTTGCATAACGCACCAGTTTATGCACTTTTTATGAGACCTTCACACACTTTTGAAGATGCATTTACACACAAGCAAGCACTTTTCCAAAGACACAAACACCCGAAACAAACCAAAATTGGCCGACTTGCTTTTGGTTTTCAGACATGGCTTCTTGAGACTTTTTTTTTTCTTTTTTGTGTGTCATATTATGATAAACATTGTCTGCCGAATGTCAAGACGATCATTGCAATTGCCGCCGTAATAATAGGAAGAATACAATTAAAGCCCTCCAAAACTGATTCACTTGCCAGAGTAACAAAATAAAAGCCTTAAAAGACAGTTTTGTTCTGTAAAAATACAAAGAATATCAATCGAAACACTAAAAAAGGCAAGTTAGTTGCCAACTTGCCATAATTATAAGTCGAATTAAAGTTTCCAAAGGGGCAATTTAGCTGCTGGAGTAATAATAAGAATTAAAGCCCCGTCCAAAGGGTGATTGACAGAGACGGGGGACTCAGGTCATATGCCTTGCCTCGTGTCAGACTAGAGTTGCCATTTTTAGGACTTGCGACTTGCTTGCCAAAAAAACTTGCCAAAGACTGACTTATACTTGAACAACAATGACTTGGAAATCTGAATTTTAACACATTTTGCCTTTTTAGGAAAGACAGAAAGAATGAAAGAAAAGAGAGAAAGAAAAAAGAAAGACAGAGAGAGCAAAAGATAGAAAGATGTTCATTTCATTTGTGCCAACCTGGCAACCCAGTCAACGTCACCTGTTGGTGAGAAGTGGCTCCCGAAACAGCAACAACAACAACAATGGGAGCGGCTCCAAAGATCGTTAATTTGAATTGATGGATTATCTTGGGCAGCACGATGGGCGGCTGGTTAGCACGTCGGCCTCACACTGCAGAGGTGCAGGGTTCAATTCCGGCTTCGGCCTTCCTGTGTGGAGTTTGTATATTCTCCACGTGCCTGCGTGGGTTTTCTCCGGGTACGTACTCCGGTTTCCTCCAACTGCGTAGTAGGTTCGTAGAAGACTCTCAATTGTCCCCAGGTGTGAGTGTGAGCATGGATTATTGTGTGCCCTGCGATTGGCCGGCTACCCGGAGAGAGCTGGCATAGGCTCCGATACACTCGCAACCTTTGTAAGGATAATGGGCTTATAAAATTCATGGATGGATAATTAAAACGGCCTTGTTTGCACAGAATGCGAAAACATCTAACTTCATTCCACCTTACAAAAACCACAAAGATGGGTAAGCCAGTCACAGTTTAACTAGCAATATGAACACTGGTTTGGGACCAGTAAAAATTGAGTGATTGTGAACATCTAACCCCTTTAAACTGTTCGAAGCGCTGAATGCAAAACAAGCAAAGCGCCGTTGCGAGCAATCACTTGTGGAGAGGGAAAAAAAGGGTAGAAACATTTGCCTGCATAACGAGTGGAAAAGAGTCGCTGCTTGAAGATGCGCCAGCAGCAGCATGATTGGAGGGCTGTTGTATTGGACGCCTTTGCATGATGATCACGACTGTAAAAAAACAAAAACAAATTGCGTAGGTCACATAAATGGTGACAAAATCAGGTCGGGTTAAATTGAGTGTGAAATGCAAAGAAATATACTGGTTAGTATTTGGCTTAGTGGAAAAAAAAAGAATTGTTGTGATTAAGCAAGATTATATGGCTTGATTTATGACTTTCGAAAACCAAGTAATCTAATTAAAAAAAAAAAAAATTCCACAGTAACCAGGGATTTGCTTGATGCTGCCCCCTCTTGACTGATTTTATTTTGAAAATCATAATTATACGTACTAACAAATCTCATAAATCACCCGTGAACGTGATTTATTTTTCCATCCCTCCATCCATTTTCAGCACCGCATATCCTGTCCAGGGTCGCGGGGAGTTGCTGGAGCCTATCCCAGCTGATTTCAGGCGGAAGGCAGACTTTACCCTCAACTGGCCGCCAGTCAGTCGCAGGACACATATCGAGACAAACGACCATTCACACCCACATTCACACTATCACTGAGTGGGAACCGATCCCACACTGCTCACACACATGTGCGGCATGTGTACCACAACACTATCAGTGACTCTGATTTTTTTATCTATTGATCTATTTACTAATCCGCTTAGCCTCACGAAGGCGTACTGGAGCCTATCCCAGCTGTCTTCGGCAAGTAGGCGAGGTACACCCTGAATTGGTTGCCAGCCAATTGCAAGGCATACAAAGACAAACAACCATTCGCACTCACAAGGGACAATTTAGAGTGTTCCATTAACCTACAGTGCATGTTTTTGGAATGTGGGAGCAAACCGAAGTACCCAGAGAAAACTCCCGCGGGCACGGGGAGATCATGCAAACTCCATACAGGAAGCCGGAATTGAACCCTGCAGACTGTGAAACGGACGTGCTAACAATGAGAGGAACAATTAAAGCCACCCTGTCTCTATCCTGTAGTTGTCAGAATCGTAAGTATAATTCAAGCCCTCAAAAATCTGATGTATTAAAGCACTCAAGCATGCAATTGAATTGCAACTTGATTCAGAATAGTAATAATCGAAGCTACCAAAAGGCGACAGGTAGTTAACAGTTGCGGGAATAATGAGAATAAGAATTACAGCCATCAACTCGATATGCAGGGTCATCTTAACGTGCTTGGCGGAGGTAAGAGAGGTTCCAGCTGTTTGATGTCTGTGTGTGCTCTGTCTTCAGTTTATCCTGCAGATCCCGACTACTTTGGCCGTCCCATGGCCGCCACCCAGGACTTTCCTCAGTTTGACATTGTGGAGGACGTATACTCGTCGTCCACAGTGTCGGACTCACGGCGAAACTCTCGCTTCGGCGGCTTCCCATTCCCGCTAGAGCGCTCGGATCGCCGCGCCCCACTCCCGCCGTGCTACAGCAACCAGAACCTGGACCATTTCTTGGACCCCAACGGTGTCCCTCTTCCGCGATCGCAGTGTCCTGACGCGTACACCGCCACCAACTACTACCCGGCCAAGCAAGCGGGCAGCCTAGACGGCCACACGGCGGCGGGCTACAAACGTCTCAGCGTACGGCTCAGTGTGGCCGGGTCGTCCTACGCCGAGCCGGTGGGGGAGTCGCCCAACGTCGCCCAACCACAGACGCGCCCCAGTGGGACCGACCCGCACAGCTATGAGGAAACCAGCATGCTGGAGAGCGACTTTGGGAGCTGTGAGGAAGTCATGTTTTAGGACGCGGCCAGGCTGGACAACGTTGCGTCATTCCGAGGCGGGATGACATCTGGGCAGCTTGACGGGAGACCCCTGATGTTTTATTTTGAAACAACCTTGCTTGACTTTCCGGATCAGTAAATCGGATTCCAAGCCCATTGTTCAATGTCCTGTCCAAACTGGCAGGAAGTAGACACTGATGGGAAGTGAACACGAAGAAAATGGAAACTGACAGGGAGTAGTCGCTGAAAGGAAGTTGAAAGTGACAGGAATCAGGCGCGAATTGGAAAATGACGGGAAATAGACAATGACAGTGAGTGAAAGCTATCAGACAACTAAGAGGAAATGGAAACTCAGGAAATAGAAACTGAACGGAAGTTGAAATTGACGGTGGGGCTGCATTGACGCTGACAAGAAGTGGACACTGACAGAAGGCTGAAACTTACAGGAAGTGGAAACTGACAGGAACTCCACACTGAATGACATAATGAGAAAACTGTTTTGTCCTTTGGAGTGCTTCCGGCAGGCAGATCACGACTAAATGTCCCGTCCATGATGTCATCAACATTTCAAGGAGGCCGCATTCTCTGAACGAGGAACATAATGGACACCAATATGTTTCTCAAATTAAGTCTTACGTCTTACTCTTTCTCCAGTCTTACGTCTTACTCTTTCTCCAGTACAGTAACAGTGCACTGGCTTTTATTTTGAAAATCCTTGATGCACTTCTGAGTCACATATGCGTAAAATTAGCACAATATTCAGACAGCATTTTCTCCTGGTGTCGTTTCATATTAATCTCTGAACATACAGTAATCAGTTCAAAATAACAGCGTACACGCATCCATCTTCTTTAGCATGTCCTTTTTTTAAAGTTCATTTCCTGCTCCTATTCATCCAACTGAAACTAAAGCGTGATCTTTTATTTTGAAATCTCTAATGTACTCCCTCCTCACATTACTACTGAAATGTACAGTATCAGATTTTTCACAGTTTGCCCAGTTTACTGTTGTCATTTCTCTGCAACTGCACATTGAGAGCCTCAAATCGGGCCTCAAACCACACAAGACTGAAAATGCAGTCACAATTTCAAAATAAGCGTCTCCATCCACATCGGTTCGCGAGCTTCTACATTTTTTGTGTCCATTTCCTTTTTGTTAGTCTGACTTAGCAGAAAGACTTAATTCTTTGCAACCATAAATTGTCCTTTTCACATCAGAAAGAAGCGTTAGATAAAGCCGTAATGTGGATTTCAAAATAAAAGCACATTTTCTCTTACATGAGTATTGTTTGAGCACTTTTTTTAGATGGAAATGTGTGTTTTGCGATAATGTGAAATGTTTTGTGCATTAATGTGTGTTGATATGGTGTTGAAGTGCGATGCTGTGTAGTTGGGTTGAATGTTTAATTTTGTTCCAATCAAATGTCAGATTGTTTATTTTTTTAATGTTTCGTTGCTGTGAGATTTCATTGCAATGCTGTATTTTGATGTATGGACCTAATCAGAATATCGAAATAAAGAAAATAATAAAAATCTGATTGCTTTTTGGAGGAAAAATAGTGGAGGAGATTTTCAAGAAAATTATTCATTGATAATTATTCACAGATTACATCATGTACTTTTTTTTTCATGCACACAGGTTCATTGAGTTCCTGTCCATAACATTAGCAATGAGTGTGTTGGCCCAGTGTTGTGTGTGTGTGCTCAAAGAAAGGTGAGCACGTAACATTTGATGAAACATCAAACAGCGTCCATTATTTCAGCACCTCAGGTGTCGTCATCATTATCCACTTAGAGAGGCCTGTGTGTGTGTGTGTGTGTGTGTGTGTGTGTGTGTGTGTGTGTGTGTGTGTGTGTGTGTGTGTGTGTGTGTGTGTGGGTGTGGGT